TACTTATGCGTATATACTTTTATGCTTTCACGTACATTTTACACGTATTTCATTTTTTCTCTTTTTAATCAAATATAATGATTAGTTGAAATAAAATTTGTCATGTAATGTTGGCGTGTAATTTGACAATAAAATAACAAAGGTAAGAATCAATTATTTAAAAGAAAATTTTCAAGCATACGTATTATCGAACATTCGAATTGAACCACTCTTTAATTCCGTATGCATAACACGCGTTACTTTGCATTTTTTCCAGGGATCATAATTGGGTTTTAAATAAGGTTGTATTTCAGGATTCCAAGGATCTAAGTTCATCAGACGACATTTCTTTATATTATTTCTTTCAAAATTTATACCACCTGTAAAAGTATTATTAATCTGATTTCTGCTTAATATTTTTAATTTGCAACACTAAATTGCATAATGCAATATAATATTCATTCTTCATTATTTTACAACTAAAAAATTTTCTCTTTCAATTCATTTTCATTCTCAAATATTCCATCTTATTTTTTTTTGCCATCAGTATTTCAATGGAATTCTTCAAAATATATGATTAATAAAAATTTGATAATTTCGAAAATTGATCGTTGAATTGAAAGCATAAAATTTAAATAACAGTGAAAATAGGAGCAACTAAAATATTACCAATTTTGAAAAAGGAAGCAAATTGTTGTCGTATAATTATTTGAGAATCAGTTTCAAACAAATAAATATTAAATAAAACAAGAAATAGGCCAATGAACAATGTAAACATATTAAAAGATTTTCTCGCTTTTAAATTCATTATATATTCTGAAATGATTATAATTATTTAAAGAATGCGATGATATTTTTGCTTTTACGGATTAATAAATTATTGAATTTAATTTCTTAACTATAATGAATTCAGATAAATGAGAAGTGAAAGACCACTTGCAAAAATGTTTAAATACCACTTTCTTTGACGATATATTTGATGAATTTTTTTTTAACAAAGCGTATTTCATTCCTTAGGCAATGAATAAAATATAAATTTTAGTAGTGAACTTTATTCGTTTATGTTGCTACTTACGAGGAAATCTCTTTCAGTTTTTGAAATTTCACGAACAAATGGATTTCAAAGCTTACTGGTGGTTTAATAGAAAATTGAACTGCTCAGTAAATTGCAAACTTCACGATGCACAAAATAGATTTATTATGTAATTAATTTGAGAAAACAAAATGTAATATGTAAAATTTTCAAAGATTCCAAATTTGTCATTTAATTTTGCAAAACAAAATTTGCATAGAAATTATGTATTTTTTGACAATTGAAAAATGAATAAGCTTTGGAAATTTGAACAAGCATTCTTTACAGTGCGGAGCATTTCACTTTTGTAATTTTCCATTGATCATATTACATAATATTTGCACAACATTTTGCAATTGCAAGTGGTTCAAAATCAAATTTTTGAGAATATTTTTCAAAATCTCTATTTTTTGAAGCGTAATGAAAATGACACAATCGAATTTTAAAAAAAAGTAGGCAAATTAAAGATAGGCATAATGAAAACTATCCGATGACCAATGCCAAACTTTATTAAATATGTTTTTATAGCAAGCAAGCAAAACAGCGCATTTATTCATAATATTCCATCCATAGTATTTTCATCTTTTTCAACTTTGATGGAAATATCTTTAATCGAAATGTTAGGAATGACGGCATTGCTTTGCTAGTCGACAGCAAAAAATTTGAAGAAAAAGTTTAAAATTTCAATTTAAAGACAAAACAATTTATCCGAGCAATAATATGAATCATCTGATGACGGGAAAAATAATGCCTGAAATTTAAATCGAATTTCTAATAAACCTTCGGGTACATATATTATCTTCGCACAATAGAATAATTTTATTTCAAAAAGATAGAAAAAAGAAACACATCATGAAATTGAATTTCAGAAAATTCCTTTAATTTTAATGCTTCTACAAGTACTAAGCATTGAGTTAATTATTATCTTTGAATCGATTCCAGCATCACACAAATTAGCAAACACGTACGTGTACTTGAGGACGTATGGATTCTGAAACACGAAAAACATAGATAAGCAAATGATAATTCAGATAACAATTTGAAGAGTTAGCGTAACTTCATAATGGCATTTTTGATTAGTTTAAGGCAACCTTACATCAAAATAGTCTGGAAGTTTGATTGAATTTCATTTATATTAAAAATCATTTATAACTTTTAATTTGAAATTTATATTTATGTTTTTTATCAATTTATAAAAAATTATATTTTATATTGGTAAAGATCCTTATTTATAATTATGTGATATATTTATTTTCATCGATAATTGTTTTTTTTCGAGTAGGACGTGGAATGGATGCCTATAGCAGTAATTGGCTCAGATAGGACAGTAATAAAATTACAGTGTTTTAAGGCCTATAATAAAGGTGCAAAAGAAAGGCATACATGACTAAAATGAAAGCACAACTGATGGAATGCTTTAATTACATCGTCGAAACAATTTAACGATTCTATCGCTGATGGTGCTGAATGGATGATGAAGTAATATTGCGATTGATTTGGTACTATCATCCATATCAGTGATTTCATAAATGTTTCAAAATATTCTCGTTTCTGAAATGGAAAAAGTTTTCCACTAAATATTTATGTTTTCAATCATAAAATAAAATTGAAATTGTGATTTAAAATTTCCAAAAAGAATAAAAATGTAATCATAAATGATATAAGCTACTTATCATTGCTAATTTCTCGATTTTATGTTGCAAAGCACTTCGTTGAAGCTCTGTTTCTGCTTCATACAATTCCTTTTCAAGCATTCGAAGGTAAATTTCTCTTGAGGGCCAAGAAACTGATGTTTTACTTTTAATTTCTGTCTAAAAAAATTATTGCAAGAATATTATAAGTGAGCTATGAAGATTTATGTGTATTTCAGTAGCAAAACGATACAAAATGGAAACTTTTTTAAATGTCAATCGAACGATACTGAAATGCTTAATTAATAGAATTCGATTAGATTCAAATTAGTATGGCTGGTATGTTACTGATAGGAAACAGAAAGATGTTCTGTTGAAGACATTTCTTTCCTTTTTAGTTGATATAAATTTGAAGGATAGTTAAATCAATTCATATTAAATATTAGCCTAAACAGTATTTATCCCCCAATTCGAAACAAATACAATTATGAAATATTATTTGTCCAATTTTTCAACCTTATTTTATTAAACTTTTGAAAATTACATACCAAATTATTATCAATATTCTTCACATTAGTTATTTTATCGCCTAAATAATAAGCAACATAATCTTTGGCAATTTTTAAATCACCATAATGCATCACATGACTCATATTTGTTTCTTGTTTGACAATTTGAAATTGTGAAGTCAACGTTTCATGATTCAAATCTACCTGTAGAAAAGAAAATTAGAAATCACTCTTGCTATTGAAATTTGAATTGAAGTTTTTAAGAAATTTAATAGACTTTTCTGAAGTTGAAATTGATAAAAAGAAAACATTATGCAAGGCAGCTAAATAGTGCCAAGATTTTTTGCAAACAAAATATTATTTTCAACCAAAAAAATAATCATTTTTAAATAAAAATTATTTCAATAATTAACAAAAATTTCCAAACATATTTAAGGTGCAAACATTTTCCATCTTTTTTTTTTATTTTAATTTATTTTGATTCAGTGATAAAATTGATTTTGAAATTTTCATAACTGTGATATCAGAATTGTCATCCTCCATTTTTTTGCGTACAAATTTATAAATTAACAAAGCATTAAATTTTTTTATCCGATTGTAACATTTTTTTTTTCACTGAATCAATATACTGTTGTTGTCTAAACTTTTCAAAAAAAAAAATTCGTCCAAATTTTTTCAAATTTTGAAAAAGGCGTAAATTATTATGACATTCTGAAAAGCAACCGTTTCGGAATTGATAATCCAATTTACGGAGAAGCAATCGCCGAGACAAGGCAATTTCATCTCATTATCACAAAAGCAACCCCACGAGCTTTCATGCGAATTTGACGCCGTTACCGCATAAACTGCAAGAAAATTTGCATTTGCGAGTGATAACATGAAGCGCTAATTGTATTATGATGAATAGCTAAGCTAATTGGACTTCCCGTCATTTGAATAAGCTTAGCCTTTTAAAGATTATTATTATTTGAAACAGAATTGTGTGTTGCAGACAATTAAGCTAATTATCATAGTATGGCATAATTTGGAAAATTTTCAAACGAAACCATCAATATTTTTAGGTAGAACTTTTGCGAACATTGAGCCACTTTCACAAGCTTCCATATAAAACACAAGCCTTGCAAATTTTTTCAATTTATGCATTCGTTTCAGTGCATCATTTAAGTTTTTAACAGTTAGCTGAAATAATCAACCTCTACTATTCACACAGTTAATTTAAAAACATGTTGATAAAATTGATCAAATGATAAGGACTGATAAAAGATAGACTTATTAAAATGTTGCTAAAATGTTAAATAATGAAATATACCACAGAATTCGGGAAGGAAACCAATCCAACAGCTCCGTGATCAGTGAAATATACAAAAATGTGATCATCGCGAGTACTTTTCACTACCTTCCCACTACCACCCTTTACTGCTGTTTCATTTCCACTTAAAACTGCCAGGAAGTTTTCCGGAGTGACATGAATTCCGGAATAATCGATTTTAACACCTTCGTAAACGTTTCTACCATTAGGCACATTAAATATTTTGCCTGGATATGGATTCCTGAAAAAGTATTTGGTATAAAATAAAATTTTATGACTGAAATTGTTAGTCGTTTTTGGAAATACTTCCAGATTTTCACGTTTATACCAATATGCCAAAAACGGAAAGCTGATCAGAAAATTTCCTGGCAGTTTTAAGTGGAAATGAAACAGCAATAAAGGGTGGTAGTGGGAAGGTAGTGAAAAGTACTCGCGATGATCATATTTTTGTATATTTTACTGATCACGGAACTGTTGGAATTTTTGTTTATTATTCATCTGGTTTAATATTGAAAGAAAAAAAAAAACCTACTTTTTATTATGGGCAATATCGTCGTACATCATTGTAATAATATTTTCTTCTAAAATACCGTGATTTTGAACGACGTGATACGCGTGACATATATCTGACTAGAATAAAAGTCGCATTATTAAATGCATTGTAATTTTATTTCAAAATTAGAAAAATTTGCAATTGAAAAAATTTTTGATATTTAAAATACTAAAACATTTGTCTACGAGCAATTTTTAACAAGTTGACAGAGTAAAAATTAAAGAAGACAACACAAAAATTTCTAACAAATTTTAACAAATAAAATATTTTTAGATATTTCATTTTGAAAATAAATCATTTTTACATCGAAGTAAAAATTGTCACGAGCTTACCTGATGGCGATAATTGTACCAGCCATTGGAACCAGCAACGAGTACCACCCACGTTTTCTTCTTTTCATAAGATCTTTCTGATACGCTTTCAACACTTAAAAAATTTCAGCATAAAATCAGTTATTAAACAAAATTTCGATTGTTTATTTTTGAAATGAAATTTTTTGCCTACAAAAGCGCTGAATGTTTTACAGTATATAATAAAGTTCTAGTGCGAGAAATACAATATTTGCCTATATAGATGGAAAGAAATAATCATTAAGAAATATGACGGAAATATTAAACCGGAAATGTTTCAGGTCGGTGCCGTGCACACATATGAAAAATAGAAATGTGACGATTATCAGTAGACAGATCGATAGCATTTTCAATGAATGCATTCTCAGCCAGCTTATCAGCGGATACCGCTTAGCATCAAACTCACTACACAGATGGGATTGGAAGTGAAATTTGTATCGATCTTTATCAGCTAACCGACCCGACTTATCATTCAGCCGATAGGAAACGGATAATGAATTGCGGATGGAATGTTGAAAATTCGTTCATCTCTTCAATGTTAACAGCTGCTATTTAATAGTGTTGATAACATTTTTTAAAAATAAAAAATATTCTATTAACTCGAGATTTTAAAAATTTAAAAACTGACCATTTAGTGATCTCATTCTACAAATGAATCCTCTCATTCAATAATTCATTTACCGCTTGAAGTAAAATGCAAATGTGCCACATAATTTATGTCAGATTCAGATTAATTTTATTTAGCAGTAAAAATAATGAAAATGCTATTTACGATAAAGTTTCTTTACATGCTTACTAATTTTCGTTAGATCATAACTTTTTTCCATAATTGACAACAAAATATGTTTTACTCTTTCTATCTTTTTTTGTTCAGATATTGATCTTTTGCAAAAAAATGGATGTTACAATTGATATTATCGAAAAACAGAAACTATTTGAAACAGCTCACTTATTTTAAAAATATTTCAACGTTGTTTATTGAAGATTTTAAGAATTTATTAACCGTAATACTCTTTTATTCTTTGAAAAAATTAAAATCAGAAGCGCTATTACGAGGATACAAAAAAATAAGTGTTAGGAAAAGAAAGTTCTTTAAATGTTGGAAAAAGGAACTGTCCCCCCTAGAAAATGTCACATTAGGAGGTTCATGTAATGAGTCATCATCAATTGCAAACAAGAACTGCAATGTCAATAAGTGAAAGTTAAATGGATTGTTGCAGAGATGAATGGAAGAGAGCACCAAAATATTCATTGAAAATTACAAATTTGACCTTCAATTCTGCATTTCTAAATTTCATAATTTTACTTTTCCGAGAACTCAAAATAAAACTGACATTTGCTATATTCACACAATTACTGTTATCACCCATTTGTTGACCTTTGTTATGTGTCATACTATTGATTTACTATCCATTCATACTGTCTGATAAATAAATTCAACATTTCAAAGTCATTTGGTGCACAAATCTTGTCATCTGATTTTGCAATACATCTGTGGGTGATGATAATGAATGGATCTAATTAATATTTCCCACAGTATATGGGACACTTCAATTGAGCCATATGCACTTTATCATACTTATCCAGTGTTTTTTTTTTGTGTGCATTCTACTATAGTATCCTTTAGGTACACTTATGCTTCCCAGATGGTAACCTTTAACCCTCATATTTCTTCCTCGCGACAAATCTCTTATTTTTCTTCGAAAATGATTCAATATTCCTTAAAATCGAATTTATTCAAATATTCAATTTGGCACATATTCTTTTTTTATGTTTTAAGACATTTCAATTGATATTTAAATTTGTCCGTTATTTTTTCAATTTTTTAAGAATTAATTGAGATTTAAAATTTGTTTGTGTGATGAATGTGAATTACATTGTACCGAAAGGAAAAACATGCAATCTAACATTTATGCAATTTACAAAATATGTAATTTACAAAATGACAAATGTACGCGCAAGAATTCATTGCATGTAAAATTTACATTTTCGCGCAATAATAACGATGATAAATACCTATACAACAAGCTCTGACTTGAAAGGATCATGCAAATTTTGAATGAGAAATTTTCATATTAATTAAATAAGAAGAACCTATCCAAAGCATTAATCAAAATTGTCAAAAATATTTCCAATAATATTAATAATTAAATTTTTCTCTTATAATTTTAACAATTATAGCTGAATATATTACTTTGGATAGCTATTGCATATATCTACAAAATTAATGAATAATTAATTGAACATGGAGGAAAAGAAGGAAAAAAAAATTTTTAAGCTCATATAAATTTCTCATGAAAATACTATTGTAAGGTTTCATTCATTTCAATTTTACTGCTATTTATCTTCCACCTGAAGTTTAATGTTTCTTATAAAATTTAAATTTGATAAAACACCAGTAAAGTTGATAAATATATCTTACAAAAAAAGAAATTCATTTCCTAATTTAAACATAACGATAGAAATTTCAATACATATCTTTCTAAAACATATATGTATACACACATATATAAGCACAAATTACATTTCCATTTGTTATCACTTAAAGTGATGAGGTAAAAGTGTGAAAATAAAAACAAAAATGGCAATGAGATTCAATTGTAACACACCAAATAATGACAAATTAATTATTTAAACAAAAAATTGCTCGCAATCGTACAAATTTACATAATTTGAGATATTTTTCTCTTTTTACATTTAAGAAATAGAAATATTTTCAGCATAGATTAAAATTTTCGGGAATAAAAAATTTCCGAAAATTTCCGGAGATAAATTACAAAATACTTCGAACCAAAAGTACCGTAATCATTACAATAAAAGAAATAATGAAATATTTCTGCACCTACAACAAATTCTTTTTTTTTGAAAAAGAAAATAGTATCTTTTAAGGCATTTGTAATTTCTAATAAAAATCCAGTGAATATCTCGCAAAAGAATAAAATTCGACCAAGTTATCATTTTCGATTATGGTATTAAATTGATCTTTTTGTTTGCATAATTCAAAGAATTTTTTACAAATGCTATTTCTTTTTCATTTAAAGGAAAAATTTAAAAAAAAAAACATTTAAAAGAAAAGCACAATTGATGAGATCAAAGGGACTTATAATTCGTACTATCGAAGCTCTTTTCTTTCATCGTTTTTAAAAGAGAAGTTAAACCTTTTCCGGTAAAATGGATGTACTGTAACCTTGACAGTGTCGTACTGCCTTGTTGTACATATGTGGTGTTATGCAATCACTTCGAGCATAAATTATATCTGCTGCTTGATATTTGTGCTTTGAAATTGTTGACCTATGAAAACAACATAGTACACGTTTCCAACTCTAAAAATTAATGAATTATTAAAATGAAATGTAAAAAAATTATCGATGTACAGACAAATGAAATTAGGTGATTAATAAAAAGTATCTTAATTAATTTATTCGTTATTTCTTTCTTAAATTATAAGACTACTTTGCGAATGTAATAACTGTCTTAATGAATATGAAAAATTTTGTTAGGTAAAGATATTTGAAACTATTCAGGAATTCTCGATCTGAATTAAAATTTTATATTATAATCAATACAAATAGGATCAATTTACTACTTTGATCTTATCATTTTTATGTTAAATTTTATGTTATTATTTGCTATTAAGAGAAAAAGGTCATAAAAGAAAAGTTAATAAAAGTCAATTTAGAAGACTATTAAGCCTAAACTTTTAAATATACTTATTGGAAAGTTCTTTTTTTCTTCTCTCCCTCTTCGCAAAAGTATAATGAAATGATTGCGATAATAAAAAAGAAACATAAAAAAATTCAAAAACAATAAATTATCAAACTGATAAAAACCTGAATTGTTTTTCTTGAAATGATCCAAACACCTGAAGTCCAACCAATAACGAGCATCGATGCACTCTTTATTAATGCCAACAATGTAAATGTATCTTCTGGAAAAAATAATTAACTATTCGTAATAATTTTTTATAAAATTTTTTTTAAATTTTTAATTTAAAATGTCAAAAAATATTTGGTGAGAAAACTGAGTTAAAGTAATAGTATGAGTTATATTATGAATTAAAGAGTAATTCTTATTGAATTATAAAAATAATACCTTGTTGATCGAATTGTTCTGCGCAATCACACAATTGTGATCGTTCCCATAATGGTCGATAGTGCTGTTCATATGACAGTACCATTAGGACAAATATCGCAGGCACTATGTAGAGGACGGAAAAAATGCCAATTTTAGACATAAGTTGTGTCATTTTTGATGTATTATCACCACCCGGATGATGTTTTTGCATTAGTGAACGTATCCGGCATAGATTAAAGAAGCCGACAATTAAGAAGCATACGCCAATGATTAGATATATTGTTAATGGAGCTAAATATATCACTTATTATAACAAAATCTTTATGAATTAAAAAAAAAAAAGTTATGTTAATATATGCAAATTATTTGACACTTAAAATTAACTTCAATTTGTTCATAAGTATTTTCACAATTATACGTGAAAAATTCAACAAAAGTATAGTAAAAGATTAATTTTCTCATATTACTAGCCAAGAAGAAAATGTACCAAAAACGAGTGTCTTAAGATAATTAACATTGGTATTGCCAACATAACAAATTCCACTTAATGGGTCACCATCGACTGCCCCAAAAATTAACACCGCAATTGTTTGGGTAGCTGGTAGGGACCAAGCAATGAAATGGAAATAATTTGCATAGCTTGCAATTGCTTCACTTGACCATTTACTAGCTGCTGCTAGCACCCATGTCAACGATAGGATCACCCACCAAACTGATCCGGCCATTCCGAAGAAGTAAATTAGGAGGAAAATCTAAAAATGAACATGAAATTCTTGCCAAAAAATTCTGATA